TTAGCGTTCAATAGCAATGACTTACTTAAAGATACGATGGCCTTACCTCTCTTTTTGAGTCGAGATAGTCTATCCTGTTAACAGCACTCCATCGATCTATTAAAAAATGTTATCTTTCCGCATAAATAATATAGTCTTCCCCCTGATTTTTCAAAGGGTAAAAGATATCTCACTATCAAGCAAATGGCATTCCTAAATGAGATCTCTGGCTACATTAGCATTGCAAATAAATCGATTATGACAGAAAAACTTGCTCTCGTCACGTGTAATTTCTATTAGATCATTTTCCGTCCTCCTTCTGTAATGAACAATGCAGCAACGTGATAAAGTTATGTTCCCTGATAGGCGGTCTCGTAATGTTAACCCTACAAGACGGCCAAAACTTTTTAGCAATCGTTCATAGGTTGCTGTTTGGTGCCCTGTTCCGTAATAGGGTTTACATTCTGTAGATCCAAGCTAGTATATTGAATAGGATTTAGCACATTGACTTTAGATTGTAGCCGTCTTTCGCCTAAGTGAGAGTATATCACTAAGCCGTATCTTTCCCCGGTATTGTCCAGTAGTCGGATGCTTTGCTGGTTAGCTAACTTTCGGGCGTGCGACGACAATTACGACGAAACGAAGACGAGGTATCCATTCAGTGACACACGGGGATCGTAAGGGCGAAAGTTTTCAATGTGTTCTATGACATAGCGTAATTTAGAGCTCTTACTGGTACTAGTAGTGACGGTGGATCTGATGCCGGGAGATATTGATGCCAGTTACGTGAAGAAGCGGTCTGTGCTGCGTGAAACTCATCCACGAGCCCCTAATGCAGTATCCTTTTGAACAAGTAACATTAATAGCTGCAATTGAAATCATGTGTCCTGTTGATGCTAGACGAAAGGGAAGCGTGTTATAGCAATTTCGTTCTTTTGGCCGAGATTGTCTGACCGGGACACGTTTTGCAAGTCCCGCGTTATCTTTTCCTTAAGTCAGTATGACCCAATTAGAGTTAAGTCGGAAAGAACCTCAAAGATTCAACCAAATCACTTCAAAGTAAAAAATATCAATGGGTCGAAAAGGCGAAGTGAGCGACATCAACGACGAGAGACTCGAAGGAACTCATAGTGTGGGACGAAGATAGCAATCATCATTATCACGAAAATACGTGTTCAGTGTTCAGCAAAGTACGATATTTGTGTGTTCTCGAAAAATATCTTTTAAATTTACCGCGCTTTGTATGTAGACTTGCTCGTGTGCAATGGGAAGTGTCCAAAAACTTAGCCATACATTTCGCTGTGAGTTTTTAGAAATATAGGAAATTAGTGTTACGTAAAGTGGGCGTTGTATAAGTTGATTTGCTGCAGTCCATTGCCGCCTCGTTTTCTCAGTTTCGGTAGACTTTTTTTCACGGAAACCCTGTACGTATCGGTGGGTAAAAGAGAGAGGTCATCACTGATGGTAGCAGGTAAAAGGCGTATTCGATTCGATAACTTTTCTGTCATCGAATTGCACGCACCTTTTACTGAAGATCATCAGCTGGTCTTCTGCATACTTCAGGTTTCTTCTATTTTGACTGAATAAAATAGCCCAACGAAGACCATTTGCAACGTCCAGCATATGCGGCGAATTTTATCGACAAACATTAGGTTTGCTGTTTATTCACTGTACCCAGTTTGTGGCCGTATCCACGGTGCCTATTTACGTTACACTGTTTTGCATCAATAGTCTTCTGTCTGAGATAATATCGTAAATTATCAAAGCTGCTGTTACCTCTGAAACGTGTGGTTCAGTTAATACACAGTGCACTGCACCAATGAGGCCAGCATTTAATCGCCGCACTGAACCCCGAACACGGGTTTGGGCTTTTGCGAATTTATTTGTAAATCGAATGGCAGCAGCTACAGTAGGTAACGGTCAACTGCATTGTACTAAGATAAAAACAATATGCAATCTGTTTGAAAAAAACGGGCTTTGCTTGTTACTACAACTAGCATTAAAGGAACTTCGTGATTCAACTATTTACATTCAGATTTTATGGTCGCCGTTTATACAGATGTTTATATACGTATATGCCGGTGCTTCGGCATGTCACGCCGACAGATCTGGCTGTCTTGATATTCATATTTGTGTAGCATTCAACGCCGCTCGAGTGTTTTAATATCGTCGCGCTGGGCAGCGGCATTAAGCGGGGTGACCATAATGCCACATTGACTGTATGGCGGTCCATCTTTTCTTGCCTGCGTATAGAGGACATCGACGGCCACGGAGATATTGTAGCACACGAAATGAACACAGACGCGCAGGCAGACTGGCCTATCAATGGATCTTCTATTCTTGTTTTGAAGTGCGTTAGTCGCGGAACTCGGTGTACGTAGTCGTATATGTGAACATCGCGTAAATGAAAGTTGGAACAAGTTGAATCTGCTAATAGCAGAGGCTCGTCCACGACAGAAAGTAAACGCCTCTGTGGCGTGCCTGTGCTTCGTTAAAATCTTTCCTGCAGTAATATAATCTCAGCGCAACGTGTAATAGTACTATCGCATTAACACCTATGGCCAGTCTGTGCGATATCTAAAGGCCAGTCAACTGCTGCGATAAATAAGAAAAAACAAACAGTCGTGATTCGTCAGAATATCGAAAGGTCAAAATTGGAAACCGTGTGAAGATGCTACTTATAAATTAAACTTGTATCGAATATAACCATACAAGGATTCAACACTGACTACGTTACAATGGCACGTGAAGAACTTGTAGGCTTGCTAGCCAATCTTAAGATCGGTTCATTTCGCCAAGCGAAGAACTATACTGGTGATAATAATGGTACGCGCGTTGTGCTGTCTGCAAATACACAAAAAGGCGATGTAAACTCGGGCTAAGTCGCGGCCCATTTTATATCAGACACATACGGACAAAGACCATGCCGCTATAGCGATTTTTAAATGCTATTGCTAGTTCGCAACAGAGAGGTCTTTCGTTAGGAGAGGGCCAGTGTGAGCCTTGGCCTAAATAAAATGAATATCTACAAAAGCAATGTGCATCATATTTAGGTATTCCTTTAAATATACTGAAGGCAGCGCTTCGCTGTGAGGGAACCGTGTTAGGCTAAGCAATTTCGAATAAATCACTGTCAATATTTTTTGTTACTCCTGCTTTACGTTTACAACATTTTATGTTGTCTTCAGGGTCGCCTCACGTGGATTAGTCGAATCGCTTGAAAATTGCGTGCTTCATTTCCTGTGAGCCGTCCGACGTTCTGTTCTGGTTCATCGAATACACCGATATTAGAAGCCTATCCGGATTTCTCCCATATGGCAATTTTCTAATCAGTTCCAATGTTATTTCTTTCCTAAGTGACTCCAGCACCCGTTTGCCAATGAACGCCACAGCAATCGAAACAATAATCGGCCTAAAAGCTGTCCTAATATCGTATTGCTTCGTATTCTTTAAGGTTCTTCCTCTGATGCTCGGTCAATACGCTATCACGAGGACTCGCCAAAAGCTAGACCTCTCTCGATCTCCGTACTCATGCAAATTTCCATTTTAGTTATAGAGCGTCCACCCGTGGAGTATGTGCGATGGCATACCTCCTTTTAAACGTGCTCATTATTTAAGGATTACAGAATATATACGTTGTGAAATGAATTACAAAGCCACATCAGTTCGATAAGGATGGCGTGAAGATCGTACCGTTCGAAGTCAAGCAGCCCTAATAAACCGATTCCTCGTGGATCTATGAACGCATCTAGCAGAAGGACGAGACAGTTACACAAAGCGGATTGCAATCATCTAACACAAACACAGCGGGCAATTTAGGCGATGCGTGAAATAAAGTATAACATTTATTCCAATATAGGCTCGCACAGTCAGGAAAACAGAAATATATATGTATATATAGTAGGTCTTTCAGCTGGAACATGACAAACACTTATGTCACATTTTGTGACGACGCTGTTTTATAGCGGAGCGAGATTTTGCCAGTTTTTTTTCTTTTGTATCCGAAATGCATCTGTACTTTTTGGAATTTGAGACTGTTTGCTCGGATATCGTCACTCGAACCTTTAGCAAATTACAGCGGCGGAGACAGCTCACTATATAAACCTTGTAATTGGTTAAAGTTCTACTAGAGGAAGCGTCCTAAATTGGCAGCGGAAGGAAAAAGGAAAGTGAACTTTATCGACAACCCTTTACCTCAGGCGCGCAGCAAAAAGCTGAGAGCTGATGTACGACCCAGTGCATCTCTGCCGAGCGCGCGGATGTAAGACTATCATACATACACATTTTGGTCATTTGAACAGGGGATAGAATCAGCGCCCTATTATTTAAGTGGGCATTGAAAACGCGTCTTTGCTTGAACATTTTCCATGATTGCATCGAACCGAATCGGAATTGATCTTCTACCTTCAGCAGTAGATGGATACAACTGAATTAGCGCAATATAACTCTGAAGCAAACGTACGACTGAACTATACGATCACAACACGATAACTAGAAAGCTCTACATCAGGCAGTCAAGATTTGTGACAGAAGACAAGCCATTGGTGTTCCACGACCTCACATCGCAGGATTAATGGTGGCAAAAATGCAAAGATTACAGTTAGAAGTTACATCCGCTACACTTGCAGAACATTGTTCCTACTAATTACCATTTTTTTTCTTTTTTCCAAAATCCTCTATACTTGTTAATGGGAAAAAATTACTCAAATTTCGGCATCATGTCAAAATTGATACTTTGATAGATTTCCGTGTGCCGGATCATGACAAGAGCGGAACAAATAAGCATAAATGGCGGAAGTTCGTAGTGAGTGGAGATAAAGCGCAAGAGGTTCGGTAAGATGTTCAGGTTGATGCTTGGATTTTAGATTTTTTAGCTTTTTCACGGTATTATCGCGTTTAGTCGTTGTGTTGTAAGCAACTTTAATCTATGTTCTGAATGCTTAACAGCGGCAGTACGGACGAGAAGTCCGATAGTTATTCGAACGACAATGACGGCCTAATAGAGCTCTCATAAATTTCAGATACAAGGATGTTAGAAGGCTGCGGACGTGTGGTGAAGTATTCGTTGTTCGTGGCCAATTTGGTCATCATGCTTGGCGGAATGGTCGTCTTCTCAGTTGGCGCCTGGACCCTCGCAGATAGGTAGTCACGTGCATTGTCGCGTCGCGTAGCGCATACGTCTATTCAACCTTAATTTTTATTCTTCTGTTACGTTTCCTGCATTATTTCTCAAAAGGTCATTTTTGCCGCCTGTTTTATTAAAGATAATGTATTCACTGCCATACGTTGTCACGAATGCTTCCATACGGTCCAAATAGCTAAAGTAAATTCAGTATATATAAAGGTATAATAAAATCACGTTCTTTTAACTAGTGCAACTTACATTGAATTATTATTGGTACGTAGGAGCTTCATGGAGCGTCTATTGGGCACCGATCTGTACGTGTCATCGGCCGCCATCCTGATTGCAACTGGCTGTATAGTAACTTTTGTCTCATTGCTAGGATGCCTTGGAGCATTTAAGGAGATTAAGTGCATGCTTTTAACAGTAAGTTATTACCCCAACTGACACAATTTTATTCCGGCACACAAGTAAATTACATAGGCTTGATCTAATGAAACACCTGCAGCGTAGCCAGTGTCCTCTTTCTAGTAAGCAAAACACGTAAGGCTAAAGACAACGTGAACTCTTTTCATATTATTCATTGGTATAAAATAGTATCCAATGCTTGTTCCTTCGAAACTTCGGTTTTTCTTTTCAATGATACTAACTCACATCTTTTCGTCCACGAACACGTGAGCGAGATCTGAAGCTTGACGGTGGAGACGATTTTACGCCCACTCCACGTGTTTAGGTAGCGTGCTATATGCACACACCGTATACTATTATCAAATAAAGGTCTTGACCCACTGGCTTGTCGTTATGTGGCTTGCTATGATGAGGTGCTCACATGGTTGGGCAAGGCCGGCACAAGCTTGAGCCAATCTCTTTAAAACAAGGTTTTGAAGGAACGCTGGCAATGTCGATGCGTTAGATTATTCTAGGTGCTATAGATATGTATGCACACTTTATGAATTTTAAAGTAGGTTTTATTTAGATTTAAACTGTAGCCGATACAGCGTCATCCTGGAAATATGATAATACTTACGGCGTTTACAAATCGTCGCTCCCATGCTCTTCCTTTTTGATAACGGTCTGTGTGTATTGTTGCGCGAGAACCGCCGATTTCAATAACCACCACATCTTATATGGGCAGGCGAAAGACGAATGGGTGGAACATGTCGAACGCTTTTACATGGACGTCGTAAGCTGAGAAGTTAATACACGTCTGTTGGGGTGCGTAACCATGAAATGCGGTTATCGCTGACTCAAGGTTTAGCATTGCCAAATAGTTACCATACCGACCCATAAGTCTGTTAGAGAAACCCTAGTCAAATCTAGCAAAACTCATTCCCGCTGGCCCCTCTAGGACCACAGAGGTGATTCCGACGACCTGTTCACACGCTGCTAATTGCCGAGAGCGATACAGAAACGTTTCTACGGATTCCTTTAAATAATCGATTTAAGTCAAGTTGAAGACTGTTATATAAGTCTACCGATGACATTTTATCTTTGCTATCACGAGTACGAACGATTGGAATTCAATGTTCAGGGCTACCAAGGCTACTATTGTTTAGTTAGCTACCAAAAGCATTTTTAGAAAAGAAATTCAGGAATGAAAATTTCCTAAACACTGACCCATTAATCCATCTATCAGACAAAGCATATTCGTTACTTTGCGAGTTTCGGTTTTTATACTCTGTCCGACTTTATTGTTTATTTGTTATTTACAGGAATACATTTACTATTGCTTTTCTACTGCTACAAATTTAGTGTTTACTATTGCAAGTGTGGATAGCTTTGTGCTATAAGCTCTACTGTATCGTTTGAAAGGTATCTGTTGAACCTGACGCGCATCAAGATGTTTTCCTGTATTTGGCTCACATTGTTCTTCGTTGGGCCTTCTTCCTTTTGCTTTTAGTCTGTAAGATCTGCACTTGAGAAACCGGACATATTCAACATAAAAAAAATATCTGCTCCTATTTTTTATGTCGAATATGTCGAATATTTCATTAATTTAAATGATGTCGTCATCAAAGAGAAAGCCGCTGCGTTTGAACGTATACGTAGCGTCGGCAAACATCTCATAAACGCGTGCTTTTTGTGTGTTGTCTATTTTGTGCTTGGTGGATAGTCTTCCTTAATAAAAACTCTTCGCGGAAGCGTTTTCTCAAACCCTTGTTAAAATCGCGCACTGACAGAGCTGCGGCATGCGATCGATCGGGTTTGTTCTTACATTAAGTAAACAATCATATCGCAGATATCCTCTATCTGTGCTCGTGGCAGTTTGGAACCATTAATGTGTATTTGTTGGTAGACAACAATTAGTGGTAACATGTATTTTATTATAAACAGTTGAAACGCATTACGTTGACCGGAAGCTAACGATAGGCTTACGATAGCGTAGAAACAGGACCACCCTTGGCATTCCGATGTTACAGCATATGGAATTTGCCTTAGATATGTTAAAGACTACTAAAATTGCTAACGAAAATTTCCTTGTAAGAAGATCGACCCTTGACGCAAGACGATATAAAAACATCAGAACGGAGCAATATGACGAAAATGTAATGCTGCTATAGCATTAAGTTGAGCGCTCAAATGTATAAATTGTATACCTGAAATTTTATTTACAAGACGCACATACGCATCCATATTAATAGGAGTCGCTAAGAAGTACTATATATATAGTATATAAATGTATTGTAATATAACCAGTCTTAGGTGCTTCCGTCGCTATATGGCCGAAATGCATAGTAGATCAGTCGTATTTGTACTAGTAATAGCTCGTCGTTACTATGGTTGGTCAAAAGGGAGTGAAGCTGAGTTGCTAAAGGACCAGTCAAATCGAGGATCGATGAAGTGGTCGGTGAAGCTACAAATCAGGGAGCCCTGATGGAGCGCCCGACGAAGACAGCGGAGAGAATCACGTTGTCGCAAGCATATCTACTGGGGAATGGGCTAAGATGTCAGAAGCAGCAACAGGTGCCTCCTCGGGTCGACTTACACAAGGTCCAACCCAGTCCAGTCGGGTGAATTCGGTGCGAGCAACGCTGGGATGTTCAAGGCTTTTGAGCAGCTTCAAGGCAAATACTAAGCCACGACATTATGCGTGACTCTAAGTGATCCTAAAACGTTCACCCAGGAAATTTATGTTGGAGCATGTCGCGTCGCTGAATAAGGTCAAGGCGCAGTGTTGCATCACGGCCTTTGCGAAGATCGCATGACACTATTGAATATAAGAAGGCCTAGCCGTAGCTGAAGTCAAGGTTTGCGTCCGATAACTGTGCAGTTGCCAAAGTTAAGGATCCCTGTAGCAGATATACTGCGTTCGTTCCACGTAGCACCGAATAGAAAACGCTTCTGGACGCAAAGCTCTTAACGGTGCCCAATATGAAGCTGATCGTCTTGAGGTCTTTGATGTGAGACAATGGACAGGCTCTCGTCTTAACCAAATCATAGTTAGATTTGACGTAGAAGCGGAGTAGATGCTTCTAGGTAGGTGGTCGTTAACGGCTCCTGTGCTTGACTAGACTGAACTAGCCATGATGCTTTGCCACTGTTTTTCCGCCCAAAATGTGCACATATGCATCGACTTCAGCACCCTTAGATCAGGAAGCAAATAGATGGGTGGACCAAAACTTCGAAAGCAAATGTGCGCATTCGATCTTCACTGCTCTCTCGAAATCTCCGAAAAAACGGAGCGAGCAGTTGCATACGAACAGGGTTCAACGGAATCGGTTCTAGCAGAAAAATGAGATTCGGTTTGAGTGGCAGGACAAACTCCGAAGTGTTCGAAGAATGGACAATTTCATTACAACAAACCGTAACTGATTTTAAACCGGATCACATTGAAAATTTGGGGTCGCTTGAACCGAGCGTGGTCTTGAATTTCTATGTGGTGCTGCTATATAAGGACAAGATGTACAACGAATCAAGAGCATTTGTACTTAGACGAAATTAGTTTCTTCAGCAAAGTAGCTAGCGTTTGCGAGAAATCTAACTTAGAAAGTTGTTCATGCCGAAATCCAATGATCCGTACAGAAATCCATAGGGGTTAGTTAAACGATTCTAGTCCTCTAGTAGAAAATCTTCCAAAGGCAGTAATCCAGGTTAGTTTTGTTAGATGGATATTCGTATTTGTATAGAGCTATAGTTTGTATATTTATCTTGAGATATTTATGTAAGTAATTAACTCTGGCATCGTATGGCTCATTGTTGGTCTGTGATTGATTTCAGTTTTTCGTTATCCTATTCATGTTGTTTATCGTGATGATGGTTGGCGGAATTCTCGGTTACGTATTCCGAAATGAGGTAAGAATTTTCATTACTTCATGATAATAAGGACAAGATCACGAGTATATATACATATATATATCAATATATGTTGATGACGCACCAAAAGACAGGCAAACGTTTCTTCTTGGCTATAGGCGGGTGATTTACCTCTAGATAGTTAAAAGTTTAGCGAATTATTTACATACCTATAATGGTAGTTAGAGCTTTGAATTGAATGCACACAATTAAATAAATTCAGTCGCCCTTTTTTGTCAAGTTGTCCTAGGTCAACTTAGACGTGTACTAGTAATTAGGCGTTAATTCCGTAACTTTGCAGGTGGACGAGCGGATGTATCAAGAGATGCTGATGTCGATCCCGATTTATAAGAACGACTCGGTCGTCACCAAGGCCTGGGACGCCGTTCAAAGACACGTAATACATACGAACAATAACCCTCGTGCTTTATTATCATAAACAGGTTTACGATATGCTACGACGATGAACGATACGACGACGTTCTTATAAAAAGAAACCTAACATGCCTAAAAGCAAATGCGGACCGATTAAAATACATATAACGACTTATTGCGCCTAACGAACTATGCTACTAAATTTTGTTGGTTATAATCAAGTATTTTGTGTGCACAAATCAATAATACAGTATCTCAAAAACCGTAAGTATATAGAACCATATAAAATATCTTGCGTCTGTATTTTGTTTAATGTATAAATCAGTGCGCGTCAATCGGTGATTATTGCTTTACGGGTATATATGGCAATATTATCTGTTGCCTTTCTGTCGTACAATGATTATGATTTTCAGTTCAAATGCTGCGGCATTCCCGGGCCTATTCCAAATGAGAAGCCGTACCGAATTTGGTTACAAAATGCCCACTTTAACGACCGCAACATGCAGGCACGTATTGCGCACGTAGTTAACTATCATATTTAGAAGAGAGCAACGTTCGTTTTTTTGAACATATCATAAATTAAAAGGCAGCGTAAGAGGCAGTCTCCTGGCCAGCTTCTCCTTAAAAACACTAACTAACTAACTAATTTGAGCGTTTGTCTTGCAGGTTGCATGAAGGTTTTTACGAAGGCTATAGCCTACATATGGTAATAGAGCACTTTTCTTTTCACAAGCTAACACAGCAATAGACACTTCTGCATTGATCGTACGATTATGCTGGCGTTCACCCCATAGATAAGGAAGGTAAAGTCTAAGAACGTTACGAACTGTATGTTGAAGTAGAGCCGAACAAATGCACTTTGGTTCAATCACGAAGCAGTTGACAACTACTACGACGACTGCAGTATACGCCATTCAAGTAGATCCTAAATACGTCCTGCTCTCGCAGTTCTATCAATGCAGTTAATTCATATTGTCTTTGTCTGCTACGGCGCGTAAGGAGCGTAACCACTCCTTCATCATGGATGATCCGGAAAAAGCACCAAAATTTAAGTGGGTGGGAAGTTGATTAGGCATAGGACCGCTTAGGGCTGGATTTGTGATAGTGCGGGAAGTTCTGTTTTGAAGCTGGACCTTTATCAGCAGCATCTAAATGTTCGATATGCTAATATTGAAAGGAATTAACCTAAAAAATTGTAGTTCACTCTGTCGAACGCACGCGCCAGTATAAAATACGTATAATCAAATGATCCTGTACAATTTGGATGCGGTTTGTCATTCTGAACTACTACGACGAACTCATTGGGAAGCGTGGATCGTCTCTTTTAGAAGGCGTGTTGATTAAGGCTTTTTAGGTCATGCTCTTCAGGTGATTATGAAGGTGGCCAATAATGAGCTTGATCTTAGTTTACTATTTACATGCTGTTCTGAACCTCTCAGAAATCGTCACGCTTACTTTTCAAACATTTTATCACACAGAACGTTGCGTGCAATAGCACCTTCTGTGATCGCTAACAGGGGCTGAGTTGTGTTGTGTTGCAAGATTGCCAGTCGCACCTTGGGTGTACGTCATTGTTGTACCTTGAGGACACGGCTGCCTCATTGAAACACCTGAAATCAATTTTCTCATCAATTACAGGAATTAGTGTGTCTTGAGAGTCCTTTAAATGCCTATTGGCGTAGCGGAGGAAGCAATTAGGCCCCTTAAAGCTTTAGAAAAAGCTTCATACTTCATGAAGCAGGACAGAATAGTTGGTGGATGTTATCATCGGACGTACAGGCTTACAGATATGAGCCTTTAACCTTATGCCGTTAACGTTCTTTCGGTCGCTTGAAACGAAAAATACATTCGACCAAGCCTTGTTTTCGCTACAGTCCGCGAAAAACTTACTCGAATTTACTGTCGCAAGGATATTCAACGCATGCGTCGTAATCACGTTTAGCCTGATGGCCTCGTAGACGGAGTAAAGAGATCTGCCAATTGTACTCAAGTTTCTTATGAAATCAAAATCAGAGATCCAGTGGAGAACGGTCTGGTATCTTCCGCAACTAGATGTAAGAACCTTTGCCTTCAGCTATCGAAAATCAAACCTATACATCTGCCGGTACGGTAGGTTTAATGGAAAACGTTATAATGAACGACGTACCTGAAAAAAAGACTTTTAATAATCACGTCTCAAAGATAACTCTAAGAAATGTCAGCAGCGATGGAAAAGTTGCTAAAGGCCATATATAAAAGTTGTTTTTAAGTAGAGCTTTATGGAATAATTGAACAGAATCATCGAAAAAAATATATATATTTCTCTACTACATCCTTTCATTTTTTCCCATGGGACCGCATGTGATGTTTGCCTTAAGAATGTGTTGAGTTTTTCGAAAATAACAGTGCGGGTAGCATACATATTTGCGATGCCGTACACCATCGGTTAGGAAAAGCTTAATTATGGGAATTCGTTCCACGGGATAAAACGAAAAAGATAGCTGATCTTTATCAATTCCAATGACGCGGCAAACAGATATAACTAGAAGTTCCTCACACACTCCTTTGAACCTTTATCTATTGGCTTTGACACATGTATTTAGGCGCTACGCATTGTATAAGGCGGATTTTGGTGAACTTTTTTTTTCTAACGAGCTTCTCAAACTGAATCATATGCCACACTAACCGCTACCAACTCTGAAAGTTGAACGCGTATTCATGGTTACCATGGCAACGCACTTAGAGATTCACAAGCCGCCTTTATCTATTAGGGTTAAACATCAGTACCTCGGCCTATTTAGTTTTTCCCTTTCCTCTTTACCGTTTGTTTGTTTCTGCGTATCATGAAAAAATCCATTGTAATTCCATTGTGCAGTGAATGGAATTTCATGTAGAATTCAGCCTAAAGAAGGTCCCTGCCCTACTTCGCCCTTCATAGAGGTCAAACAGCTACACGGAATATTTGCGCCACCTGCAGAGAGAACTCTAACATTAATGGTATCTTAAAATAGAAGGATGTACGGTGCTGCGGTCGGCGTCTATGACTGAAAATAGTTATGAAATAAGACCGTCGGAGAACAATCTGGCGAGAAAAAAACTATAGGCATATGACTATGGAGAAGGACCTTAAATCTATGAGATCTACTAAGAAATTTGGCGCTCTATAAACTAAAAGAACATCGCAAAAAATCGCGGTTTTTCATTGGCCGATACCGAGCAAGGTGCAACCACAATAAGAGGTCTCTACGCAAATTCCGATAAGGCGGAGTTTCTATAGCAAGACAAGGCAGAGAAACGAATGGCCAGCTTCGGAGGATACGCCCAAGTAGAAAGTTTAACCAAATCTTCATCCCAAGAAGACGATGATTTGCGTTTGCTGGAACTGGAAGGGACTTATACAGTGGGAAACGCTTAGAAAGTACAAGGCGATCAGTAAAAATCTATATATTGCTAATCAACAGAAAAGATCCTATGGACGTGGCAAACTCGTCCTCTTTCAAAACAATGCCAGATTGCGCATTAAAAATGTAAAAACCCTCTTACAAGAACTTCGGCATACGATTCTCTTGTCCCTACCAGATTCTCCAAGCCCAGTTCCAAGAAGTTATAACCTCTGTCGATTATTAACAACGTAAGTTACTAACCGTACATTTGACAATGAAAACAGTTTCAAAACCTGGCTGGGTGAGCCATTCAACATCTGAAAATTTTTGGCGAGAAGAAGTGAAATAGTTTAGGCCGGCGAAAGAGCCGTTCAGGGTCACAGCAAATACGCGATAAACCAATATGTAGCTAGGATTTGTGTAAAACGTTGTTTTTTGCCAGGTGAAAAAGGATATTGCTTATGTTTCAACATAATCATACTGCTCGTTCCGTATACACGCATTCATAAGCCCACAAATGATCAATAAAAAGTAGTTCCAGCTTATTTCATGCGTTCAATATACATCGTACCTCCAGGCCAAAAAAGGAGGTTCAATGTATTTGGACGGTGAGCTAAGATCAGTTGCTGTCTGTGAAAGTCTTCACTATAGAAGCTCTCACTGAGTTTATAAACGTGTTTAACTTCTCAGGATCGATGGTCTACGCTGTTGCCAATTTCCATGCGACTTCCAAATATAATAAATAGTTCAAAACTCAATTTATAATCATTCCAATTTTTAGTGGCGAAATTAGCGGCTATTTTTGAGAGGAAAGCATTCATCGACAACGAACAGATAAGCTTCAATGGAGTTTTTGTTAGTCAAAATTTGCCACTTCTCACATTTGCTAGCTTTTTTAGACGCGCGAATTTTTCAGATTTTCCACTTGTTTTAAATTCGAAATTTAGATCCGCGGTTTTTATCAAACATGTTCATACGCGACTTGAACAAGACGGCACGCTGCGATGTCGCTTTATTTCTGGTTACTGTCAGAAAGCTGTTTACGAATATATGGCAAGACCAATTTCTAAGCGTGAACGGTTTAATCACGAAAATAGGGCACAACTAAGCAATTAATGGCTACGTTGAATAAACGTTACCGTACGGAAAACCCTGTCCTGAGAAAAGCATTGGACTCATGACAAAAAGACAAGCTTTTTATAGCGTTATGAAATTGCATTGTCATGTTAAATACAACAGTCGAGCCACAACTTTGACGCTGCCGAATTCTGTGAACGTGGATTGTATGTGACTATTGGTACCGGATCGTAAATGTCTAGAAATAGGTACAATGGACTAACAAGCGATATCTAACTTTAAAACGCAGGTGCCCGATTCATGCTGCATGCGCAGCGAATGGCTTGTGGGCTGTAGAGGAAGTCCATCCGAAAGAGACACCTATATGGACGTAAGTTCCGCTTAAAATAGACACAAAAACTAGCGATTCAGTCCTCCTCTAAGACTGATACCAGCCCATAGATATCCCAACTGCTTGTACAACTACCTTTGTTACAGAATTTATAGATTTTACTCCTACTGCGATTGTTTGTTTAACATGCTGACACTGAAGTGGCAAAAGACTGGGATACCCTCAGATAGACGCGCTTACTGAAAACATACGAAAAAAGAATTGCCACGTCCATAAATTAAAATAATAGACAGTGTTAAAATATAGGTGCCCATTACGGGCTCCACTGCTTTATATAGAATGTCTACAAATCGATTTAATACTGCTACGTTTGATTTCCAGAATTGTCACACCCGAGTACGCGACTTCGTCAAAGGGCACGCGAAAATCGTGGGAGGGGTCGGAATAGGTATGCTATACATAACGTAAATTGGGTTTACGTGCTAGCCACCGGACGATCTAAGATGGCCTTAGCTACAAAATGCCTACAATATTAAGCAGTCTAACTTATGCTTGCTTTATTACATTGCTAAACTGTTTTTTAGGCATCGCCTGTTTGTTGGTTGTCGGCATGGCTTTGTCATGTGCGATGTTCCTTATGATCCAGTGAACGAACCTCAGCATCATTACGCATGTATGTATACAGACGGATAGGAATTAAAAAAAATCTACGTACAGTTACTATTCAGCGTCAGCTATCGCAAACGACCCGAAACACCTACGAAAATTGAAAAAGAAGCAGGAGATGATTGTATTCGAGTCCTTGCCTGACCGTCCAATCGCCCGCTGAACAAGTGCATAGATGACCGTATGAAATATCTCACCAACCCCGGGTCGGTACACGCAGGTGTTCCTTATGGAGGCAAAAAAGCACAAATCCTGTTGGCAAGAAACGTACGTCTCGGATGATCACTATGGAACGCAGATATCTGGTCACATCAATAAATGTAACCGAAGGGTGGTGAAGGGTACGCCACATCAGCAGCCCCATGAGAGAAGCACAGAGGAGGTACATCCTTCAACGATGCCTATTATGCAGCAACGCAGCGACGCAGTTATACAGCAAAATGCGATATTAGATCTTTGTGTAAGCCGCGACTGGTTTACGTTCTGTATTTGTTTATCCACAATTGACACGGTATTGATATGGCATTACGCTCATAAACGACCTCCTCAGTTTAAATAAGTATGTTACCGCGTAAATTGCTATCCTTTTAACGTAATTTCAATTTGTGAATTTAATAACAGTAGTCCACAACGTTAAGCTTACGACCGTTATTGTCTAACAAAGCAGTACTAAATTTAAACTATACATAAACGTACCATTCTAAAACACACGAAAAAAGTGTTAATTATCTTCACGACTATCAATATCATAAAGGGCATGCTTAGCCGCTAACGAAGAAATTGTATATTCAGGCAAGAAATATATACCACCTCACGCTAGAATTAGAATAGCTCATTAATATTAAGCCCTTCTGATAATACTTCAGCATTGTGCATTGAATGTCGTTGGCCTTAAAGTAAAATGTGCTCGTTGCGAAACGTGATTAGCACATGTGCCTTGCCACAGCACGTCTGGGCCTTGAAGCCCAAAAAACGACCAGTGATAATCGGGAGCTGCTCTACACCTTCCGCATATTTATCAAAGAAATACATCCATTATGTCTGTAAATCATAACCAATCATTTGCTGTTTGCTTCTACCATCGTCACATTATTATTACTGTTACTGGATGCGGCTTTCACAAACCGAGCGTGTTTCTTGTGGCCAATGGCGTTGGTTAAGCATATTTATTGATGTGAGATTGGCTTTGCAGACAATCTGCTTGGGGCACTACTATCGTTCTCGGCTTTCGAATATCGCGGGCATCTCTTAGTCGTCGGCTGGTCAGCAGCTAACTATTGTGAACGCGCGCGGAGGTGTCGTCCAATATGTACGACAACATTGCAACGGTGAAGAAAAATAACAGTATGAAAAGACCGTTAAATCAAAGCATACAGCCTCATCGACGTATCTATAATTTCAAACATGCCTTTGCCCCTATACGATTGACTAGCTAGAGTATGCGTAGTTGGTAGACGGTTCTGCTGACGATACAAACCCTTCTGAGTCTAGCCTCGTACGTCGGACGATCAACTGCCTGATGCCTGCTGTTCGATGCGCGTATTATTCTTGTGAGTTACTGTTAGACATGGACTAGTGTCGCTTGAAGCATAGGATGTGTTTTCGATGGCCCTCCGGTCACCCGAGATCACATGCGTTCCACGACAGAGGCCATGTTTTGGTTTTAAAGAAAAATATTTGATTTAGATAATAGTAATTCTAATTGGCTTGCGTAACCTGCAAGGGCCATCGATAATAGAGTTAACTAACTGCTTATCCGAAACATGTAGACAGAGATCCACATCTTTGCGCTGCCCATAAGCGATACAAGTCTGGAATGACAATAGAAGCAAGAAAATAACTAATAGTGATATATAAAGCGGGTCTTGTGCGAAATATCAAGGACACGTCGAATGGGGCAAGCGTTTGGTCACCACATTTTGGATTGTTGTTGAAATAGAAATTATTACGAAAACGCTATTTTTTAGGTGCGTGCTTAGCTCTGTTTGAAAAAAAGAAAATCAAAATGCGCGAACATGACAAGTATTACTATTTGTAGGACTGAATTACCTTGCAGCATAATGCATCTATATTAATAAGACCATTATAATTACTATAGCGAGCAATAGTGGCAACAACAAAATCGATTTGAATAGTTTATAAAAGAGGTGTCATGCCAACAGATAATCAAGTTGTTTAGGTACCAACAGCGTGGTCATATTCCAAATATCCACCGAGAACACTGACAGATAGAACTAGTCGAGTACCTATCTATATGGCGTTCTTACTTGAAAATTTGTACTGCACCTCTAGATAATCTATCTGTTTGGCTGAGCATTATTCTACAGACTATTAAAGATGTAACGATTAGAGATCTGCAGTCTAAACAAACGGCCATGAAAGGATCTTATAAACAAAATTGGCCCTATACATTTACAGCATAAACACGTATTTCAACTCATTTTCATAGTTATCGCGTTGAGTTTCGAAAATTGATTTCTCAATGAAAACGCAAAGGTAAGATCTTTGATCTACCTTCCCACAAACGCCTATGGCGCGTTTCTCTTTTGATTTTTTTCAATCCAGCCACATCTGACTCCAGGTCTATTACCTGAGCGCTTGCTTAAAATTCAAGTGCTGCTGATCTAGTCAATTGCATCATGCAAATATTAGTACATTGTTTTTTTGTAAGTAAGCTTCAATAACGATTTATGCAAGAATTGATTGTTGTTTGTTACGTTTTTTAAAGTCAGATCTGCCATTTTCTTTCGATCGAATGATATACGCGGACTTCCGTGTGTCTGTAAACAAAATACAAACGGCACATTATCCTGCAATTATTTTATTTTTCACAAATTGAATAATCATTTGTAAAAATACATTGTACTTCAAAAACTTTCTTAATCGAATGTAATAACGATGGGTATATATAATATTTCGATGTGAATACAACAAACGAAACAAAGATGATAGCTTAAACAATACCAATTGCAGTGCGTTCAGCGAATTGACCATAATAAACTTGTATGCCCATATACTTTCGGTTGTTATCATTATCCAACAACAATAGTGGAACGTCGTTGTACGCAGAAAACGGAAAATTTGAAGGAGAATCTTTGTTCAGCAAAAGAAGCTTAGTTTATAAAAATTGACTAATAAACGGTAAGACACTCGAACTAAGCCTGAGGCGCCTAAGAGATTGTCCGTGCTTCAGATACGAGGGTTGAGACAAAGTAAACGGTAACAGTATACTGTGCTGATTATCGTAATCAGTAGATAGCTCGAGCTCTCAACATATCAGATATGGTTTAATGAATCAAAATTAGGTAGTAGTTCAGCACTCGGTTGTTTCTTTCGATCAGGAATCGATCTTTTCATTGTGGTAAATAAGCTGACAGCCATCGCTGTGAAGTAGTGCCGCGTAGCACTTCGCACAATAAAACGTGCTTAAAAATAAAACGAATCCTATTAGGTGACATTTCTGTTTGAAATATAGTAAAAACACAATATTTTCAAAGCGTAAACATGAATATTTCTATTTTTATATATAGTAATAATATCGTTCTTATTCAATCATTACCGTCATCATCTTTTTGCATGCTGATCGCCGTCTCTAGCTTTTTCTGTAACTTGATTTTTTGTTTTTTCTAATAATATTTGCATTTAGTCCTAGCTCTGGTCGGTGTTCTTTTCACATCGTTGTTCTCTGGGTTGGCAAATACCTTAGTTTCTATTTACAAATATGTCTGACGTTGTAGCGGCCTGCTGCGTATTGGCGCTGCGTACTGGCGCTGCGTACTGGCGCTGCGTATTGTACGGATGCATTACATTACTACCGCTGTTCCTGCGTCTAATAAGAAACGTACCATCACAATGATTTCTCCTAGAATCGTGCGTAGTTCAGTAAAACAATACCATTATGTATCCATTCGTCACTCGTTCGAGTTACTTTCGTTTGCGGATCCGTTCGTATCCAATTTGAAATTGGCTCTAATGATTCCCCCTTCCGGAATACCGATTTGCAGATCATCATCAGTTATCCCCATTAGTATTCTACTAGCTCTACCCATTCATCTATCGCATCACACACGAGCTTCTATCGTTATCTGCCATCGTCATCGACATCATGTCGTCAGAGTCCCATGTTGCAGATATGTACACGCTTTCAAGTAGACTGACAAATTAAATAGGGGTCGTTTGTAGCTTGTTGAACGTGAACGAATCGGTCTTTCAAACATTAAACAACGTTACCACTCATAAAAATGACCAGTTGGCAAATCGCTAATGGTTCTCAGTGACATAAAGACTAGAGCAACACTAAACTAATAAACTGGCAGACTCGAAGGCTCATAGGTATCACTCACTTAACTTAGGAGCAAACTGCAAGAAGCCAGTTTTAAAAATAGTCGCATGAAAAAAATTAGGGCCAAATCATCAGAATCTCAATTGTCTTGTTCAGTTATTTCAATTGACAATAAAACTTACTTGAAAAATAGAAGAGAGATCGGCTTTACTTAAATCATCAATATCGACAGGCTCTTATTAATGACTGAATAATGTTTACTTTGTCACTGTTACCTTACTGTTTACATTATTTATATATATATATATATGTATATAGGAAAGCGTGGGGCTATATGGCCTATTGCGTTTTTAGCAAAGGAGCGTTGATTTAGAATTGTAATGATACCAGACTTTTACACTTCTATAGATGCATACGGATCGAGAATTCGGTGCAACTTCCATCAATCCTTTGATGGAAGTCTAAAAGTCGACCTCTATAGGACAGTAAAGTATTATTTTTCGCATTTGATCGAACGATAAAAACCTGAAGTAGTCAGCTCATTCTTCTACAACGGTTTCGCCTGTCCCAGTGTTACATTTTCAGCTACAAAATTAAACACAAGTTACATTTTCTAAAGTTAAAACGATAATTTTAAAGGTCATTGTATTTTAAGGATAGGTGAAATTATATGCCGATTTTATTTAGTTTAATAACACAGGTTAAGTTAGGAAATCATATTTGCATGCTTATTGTTCCATGAGTCGCTATTGTCGCGTATGTGATTGCTTTTAATATAGATCTTGTCAACTTTGTCGCTACAAGGCATTACTTGCATGAACTACATTTTGAATCGATGCGCCACATTGCAGATAATTACGATCATGGATTGGAAATTATTATCGATAATTATATCTAGAAAAATTCAAGTTCATTAGTTATTCGAACTGCGCTGCGGAACTTCATGTGGGCCTGTAGATTTCGACCTGGCGAACTTAACAGTGAACGACTATAAATCCAGAGTCGCCATACCTACAAGTAAAGAAAAGCATTTTTCTTTTTTAGTTTTGTTCAATGTTTAACTTCTTCGGACGAAATCATTAATGGCCAACGTGGCCCACCGCTGGCCCATAGTGCCCCACAAGGTGGGTTATATGGGCCAATGACATAAGATTCTTGAGTATTCTCTCGAAAATAAATTAATTCTATTGATTCCATTTAGGCCACATAATACGAGCGCGTTTTACGAATGCAGTAGTATAGTTTTCTTCCGTTACATTAAGCGGTAGCACTAAGTATATTTCGGCCGATATAGCTCCACCGTCTCTCTATATATA